CTGGCTCTAGAAGAAAAACAAACTGCCACAGATTAGCCGAGACGCTAGAAAGCTATTGAAGTAGGTGGGAGGGTCTTTCAGGACCTTGCGAAGCGTGTTCTTGTAGTCCACCGAGACATTCCTGGTATCCAGGAAACGGGTCAAGAAGAAGTCCTTGAGGCCTTTCTTGAGAAGAAAAACCTGCAGCATGCTCACCTTGCCGGTGCCCGGCTTCAGGAGGTATTTGCGGTTCATCTCCTCTGGCTCGAGCTGCTCAAGCTTCAGCGCCAGCTGCACGGACTGGAAGAACCACAGCACGCGCGCAGGGTTCCTGCACTGGTAGTGCACATCCAGCAGATTCGCGATGGAGTTGAAGGGTGACCTCTCCTCGTAGAACTCATCCATCGCCCTGATGATGTCACGGACCTCTGACGCCAGCAGCACTTGCTCATAAACAGTCACTGCCTTTTCGATCAGCTTCGGGTCCGAGCGCGGCTCTTCATCACTGTCAGCTCCAGACAAGCGCTTGGAATAAAATGCCGCCACCTCCTCGTGCGTAAACTGCCTGTTGTGCTGCGCCTGGAGCTTCTGCTTGAACAACCAAATATCCGCGCAGACCTGGCTCGCCGAATGCGTCAGCGTCTTCGCGGTGTCTCTGGACTTCCTGCCGTCAGGCATCATTGAGGAAAGAACTGTAACTGGGGGCGGCTTTCTGATACCATAATAATACGGGCCCTCAGTCCTAGGTAGTTGTTGGGAATGTTGTTTGGGAGCACGGGGCTGACGCTGGTCATATAATGGCTGCTAGCTACGCTCATAGCACTTATTATTAAACCCTGAACCCTAAACCCTAAAACCTAAACCCTAAAGCCTAAACTCTAGGGAGACTACATGTACCGGCGGCCTCGCTTCGAGGCATGGCCCTAAACTCAAAACGGAAAGCCTTCAGGCTTGTCTACTACAAATTGACATGGATGTCCTGCGGTAGTTGATGCTCCAGAAGTACACGTCTATCTCCGTATCAGCTTTCACGATTCTGCCGGTTGCGGAGAAAATCACCTTCATCCACTGCAGCAGCTCATCCTTGTCAGCTCCATCACGGATGCGTTGCGCAACGTGCACCACTAGAGCCTGCACGGGCTCCTCCGGCGAGATGCGCTCCAGTGTCCCATCAGACAGCAAGCGGAAGTCCACAGGCTCCGTCAGGGGCACGACTTTCGTCTCTGTCCCCTGGCCCCAGAGATTGTAGATGAAACGTTCCACAGCTCTCTCGTTGATCGGGACGGCTGCCGTGTGCGTTGTGAGTGGGCTGTCCCACAATACATTCACGCCTCCGGATGCCAGGATCGGCTCCTGCCACGCATCATCATCACGCCGCTTCCGAGCCAACTCCAGCGAAAGAGGAGCAGAGAAGCCTTCATCCTCGTTCAGCGCCGGGAAGGATTTCAGCTGCTCACCGAACTGACCCTTGATAGTATCCAGAGAGTCGGCGACCTTCATCTGCCAGGCTTCGTTCGGATTGTGGAACTTTGGCAGCTCGAAACTGGCTTCCACGGCACCGGCCTTCTTCGACTTGCCCATTGCAGCTGAGCGCAACGCAACACTGCAAGACACTCCAAGCTGGAGACTCGAGACCACAAGCAGCTGCCGCATCAACCACCATAATCAGTCGACTCACAATCATGTTTCAGAACAGCCTGCCATGAAATGTACAATCAGGTTTCAGAACAGCCTGCCATGAAATGTTGCCCTTTTTTCATTTCCTAGAGGACATGCGAACTGCACATGGACTCGGCAAGTCAGGGGCCTGGCATCGTCACCAGCCGCTGCCAAGCCTTGCAGCATTTCCAATAAGGCCGAACAGGTAGAAGGCACGCAGACATGATCATTATTCGCATATTCGGGTAGACATGATGAGAAACATATCGCACGTTGGACCAAGCTCTTGGCGTCTGCCATGTATCATAATCTATTCTGCTAGCTGCTGGCGAAAGACTATATCTATATCTATGTATATGTATATATATGTTTCAGAACAGCCTGCCATGAAATGT